CGATTTGGATTATACTTCTAAGCAAAAATTCTCTCTCTATTTGGTTTGTCGTTGGATTGGATTTATAATCTGAGGATTATTAGTTCCAATTTTTGGTTGATATATATTGGTATATCTTTTTCTTAGATCGATATATATGTATATATAACCTTTGGGTCCGTTTTATATATATTTGTGTGTGTATATATATTTCGGATATATATATCCAATAATATTTTATATATTTTTGTGTGTATATATAAATATTATTTTGAGATATTAAATCAATTTTGGTTCATTATTTCCAACACACACTAACTCAATCAGTTGCTAACAACTATTTACCAAATACCTTTAAACTCCCGAAAGTTTATACTTCTATTTGACTATATTATTAAATATTAAATTTGGATATTGTTAATTGTTTCAAATTCTGTTTACATCAATTTGTGTTTTAGGTGACGTTTGACTTATATTTAAGGAAATTATAAATAATTTTAAATATTTTGCTAAGATCTTGTGGTCTAATAACACTAAGATTGAACTCTGGGAGATTGTAGATTCGAGTCTCAGTGAATGTGAGTTATGAACATACTCTATATTATAATAAAGTCAATAGCATTAAAAAAAAAAAAAAAACACTTTAAAAACTTTTCATCCTTGAGAAAAGAATAAAGTGTAAATTTAAATTACATTGTTTGGTAGAAACGAATAAAATGATAGGGAATTGAGAGGGAAGAAGTGAACAAATACTAAATGCCCTTATATAATATTAATATAATATAATAATAATAATGAGGGTAAAGTGGTAATTACCGTGGAATTGCAATTCCTAGAAGGGGGAGGGGGGCTAGGAATTGCAATTCAATGGTGGAGGGAATTGCAATTTCATGAAATTATAATTCATTCCAACCAAACCATGGAATTGCAATTTCATGGAGTTTGGTAGGTGATGTGAGTCCAATTGTGCACATTTTTAGTATCAATTTTATTGTATTTGTTAGGCTTAAGTTCATGATTTTGGTAATTTATTGGCATAAGCCTTTGTTTTATCATTTAGTTTTGGTTCACACTTGTTTTGAATGTTTTACGGTGTTTATTAGTGTTTTTGAACTATTGTAGGTCAAGGTTAAAAGCAAGAGAAGTTCGAGGACAAACTTCGAGTCAAAATGGACCGAAGAACATGCACTCAGCAAGTTCGACGCGTCGAGCCAGCGACAGCCCAGTCACGATTTTTTGCCCGTTTTCGCGTAGAATTCTTCTATTTCAACCGAGAGTGGTTCCAGCTATAAATTTCCCCCTTCCTCAACCCTAATATTCATCCAGAGATCCTTGAAAACATAGAGGAGAAATCAAGAGTTACGAATCGTCTTTGGAGTAAGAAGAAATCAAGGTTCAATCTTGTACTCTTTTTGATAATTTGTAATTCCTTTATTATATTTGCTATGTATAATTTAGCCATGCTTGGCTAAATTCCTTTAGAGATTCTTGGGTAAAAAGTGTTTATGAACCTATGTGTCTGAGCTCTCAGATTCTTTAATATATTATTATTTGGGTTTTAAACTTGAGTTGGAATTATGTTTATTATTGTTGTTGCTAGTAGTTTAGGGCCCGAATTACTTGCTTCGTAGCTTTGTTTGTGTCATAACGGGAGTTGGGCATAACTTAGGGCACGCACAATTGCACCTTGGAAGATGGTAATTTTGTTAGGGAGTTTAATTCTTGATTATTGCACATCGGGAGATGGTAGTAGTTAGAAATTTATTATGATGCTTGTTCTTGTTTTATTGGATGTTTATATCACGGGAGTGAATATTCACTAGTGTTAGGGACTACGGAAGTAGCTCTATTCCACCTTGCATCCTCACATTTGTTAAACCCAGATTTTAATATTTAAGTGTTCAAGTTTGCATAATGAAGTTGATGATAATTATGAAAATATCACCATATTTTTAAAAAAAATTTGACTAATTCGTTTTTTTTTATAGATGTAAGGCTAAAATTAGTACTTATTTCTCTCCTATGGTACTATTCTTACAAGATCCTACCATATATATATATATATATATATATATATATATATATATATATATATATATATATATATATATATATATATACACACACACATAAAAGAAAAAGTTCAAATACGACGAGACCCTCTCGTGCGGTCGTGTAGCGGTTTCTAGAATACACCAACAGTGTTAACAATATGCAACAATAGTGTAAGAGAAACACACAACAATGAAATACAAAAATACACATCACACCCAAAAAATACACCAAATGCCTCCCTACCACTAAAACTAATAGTGTATTTCCGCACACTGTGTGATGCTTTTAGTCATACCTAACGGTGTGTTGTATGTGATGCGTACCTAACTTGTGTGTATTTTTGTAGTGCGTTTCATAACATTGATGGTCTATATTTTGTTTAACTATTGGTGTGTTCTGAAAACCGCCGCACGACCGCATAGGAGGGTCTCACCGCACCGGAACTCAACTATATATATATATATATATATATATATATATATATATATATATATATATATATATATATATATATATATATATAGAGAGAGAGAGAGAGAGAGAGGGGGGGGGGGGGGGGGGTTACAGTGAGAACACTTGCTTAGGTGAGAACGTGAGAACAAATCGTGTGTATCCATCTAATATTTTTTAATGGTCTAGATTATATTAAGTGTGTGTTAACGGGAATTAAATGTGTGCAAACGCACTTGACGGTAAATATGTTACCGGTAATAATAATATTAGAATAACGTTGTGGGAAAGAGTGACAATAGTTGTATTGCCTTAGTGTCTTAGTATAGGAAGTACAATGTGTCTTTGTCCAGAGTATTGAACGTGTCCCCTCAAGCTGAGAGGAGCATCTACTTATACAAAGGTGCCAACGGTAACAACATGGGACATAAATGGGGAGCCAAGTCTTTAATTCTCTCTCATCAATGGTAGCATCAATGTGGCTTCAATTGCAATAAAGGTGACACCTGTTGGAATTCTGTCCATTAGAGTTTTGCCCGTTGGGTCTCCATGTGGTGCCGGGTCAAATATGGTGCCGGGTCAGATGCCCACTTATGATCCAGGTCGGGTGCCAACCCTATTATCCTGTCAGCACTTAATCGCGTTTGCACACATTTAATTCGCGTTTGTGTATCACTTGGTCACATTATAATATTTGGAAACTGCTTGGATCCTATCAGTGTGGACTTTTTATTTTGCTTTTGGATACATCTGAAAATAATAAAAATAAAATCCGGAACCTCCTATGTTGGAACGTTATGTTGTGCAATCGTGTGCACCATGCAAGGTGCACAGAGTTCCAATTCATAATTTTTATACTATAGATTTATAATTTCTATACTATAGATTCATAATTTCTATACTATAAATTCATAATTTCTAAACCGTAGATTCATAATTTAAATACAATAGATTCATAATTTCTATACTGCAGATTCATAATATCTGTACTGTTGATTCATAATTTCGGTACTGTAAATTCATAATTTCTAAATTGTATAGTTATCAAATTATGAACATATAGTTCTGTGATTTGTGAATATAGAGTTCAACAATTGAGAATATAAACATCGAAAATTATGAACATAGAATTCTGTAATTGTAAATATAGAATTCAATAATTATGAATATGAAGTTCAAAAATTATGAATATATAACTTTATAATTATGAACGTATTGTTCAATAATTATAAACATAGGGAAAAATGGTCAAATAGGCCCTCGAATTTTAGCTTAAAAATCAATTAGGCCCCTAAACTTTTTAAAGGTGCAATTACACCCATCAATAATTCATTTAGGTGCAATGAAGCCCAAAAACAAGTTAATGACCTGCTATCACATGTCATTAGGGTTTAGGCCACCTTCCGGCGATTTTTCCGGCAAAAAAAAAAAGTAACCAGCAACCAACCCAGATTTGTCGAAAATTTCGCCGATCACTTTTTTGCCGGAAATTTCGGCAGTCACTTTTTTTTTTTTTTTTGCCGAGAAATTCGCCGAAAGGTGGCCTGAACCCTAATGACCTGTGATAGCAGGTCATTAATTTATTTTTGGGCTTCATTGCACTTAAATGAATTGTTGATAAGCATAATTGTACCTTTAAAAAGTTTAGGGGCCTAATTGACTTTTAAACTAAATTTCGAGGGCCTATTTGACCCTTTTCCCTAAACATAGTGATGCACATGGTTGCACAACATAACTTGCCCCTCTTATGTTAAGTCAAATCACAAGGCGTATGGTGTTGCCAAGAGCCCAAGACAAAGAAAGAGAGGCTTTCAATCTCATTCCAGCCCCGCTCCCTTAGATTCGGCAAATTATATTGTGCACCGCGATTCATAATGAATCATGCACCGAATTTCTAAAACGACGTCGTTTTGTTGAATAAAAAGAAACAGGCACCCGTTCCGCTCTATTATTCAATTTAATTTTGTCGTTCCACCTTGACCATGGTTCCCCTGTTCCAGACCCCCACTTGGTTCCTACCTAGTTCCAAGTTCACCTAGTCTTTTCTAGACCCTTTGTTCAACAAATTATTCCGACCCATGCTTGGGATGAGATTCGATCCTAAGACCTTCCATATGAAAGTCCAACTCCGGTATCATCGAACCACAAGAGAGATGGTTGTGAAATGTTATTCAGTTTCATTTTATATACACTGCAGTTTCATTTAAATTAAATTACAGTTCCATTTGATAATATAAAAATAATACGTGATGCAATGTCAATTTAGATACATTGTAATATCAGTTTAGATACACTATAATTTTAGTTGAAAATTAATACACCAAATGTGCGCGCTCCCTCCGTTAACTGTAATGGCACGCCGTTTCTTTACTTAAAAAATGGTGCCCTTTTTGGACCGCATGCCACAAAACTTTGTGCACCGTGGTCCACAGTATAATTGCTGCTTAAATTCCTATTTAGTATTAGTATTTACTTACACCAAAAGCAAAAAGCAAGCTGAAATCACATGGGGAGAATTGAAGTGCAAGAAGCTCTGAACCAGGGAAACTACTTAAAAGGTCAAGGTCCACTCCATCACAATCTGGGAAACCAAAATACATGACTGGAGTATGATTCACTATAATTAAGCATTTTTTTAAGGGGCATAATGGACAAAATTTCAGGCACTGCCAACACAGATACATCAGTAGTAGCGCGACCCCGACCCGGGGTCGTAACCACGGCCCCCGGGGTACTGAGCTCTAGGTTCATACCCTTGATCTCTTCCGCTTCCAACAAACCGGTTTCGGTCTCTGTACGAATCATAATTATTGGCATTATAGGCTCGTTGTCGCTCCCCAGGCACGGGAGTTGGTGCAGCGTATCCACGAGGATCAATAGGGCCTCCTGCATTAGTGTTTGGATGGTTATCCAATGCAACCTGTTGGTACTGCTGTCGCCTCGCATGGGATTCCCGGCGAAGAACATCCTCTCTGCGACTCGCATGCCGGGCTCTTAGGGCTACTAGCTGCTCTTGGTACTGAGCATTGATTGCATTTATTCGCTGAAAATAATCATTAACAAATAAGCTTGGCTAACATGTAACAAACAAGATTGGTCTAGTCTCACCCAAAAAAAAAAAAAAAAAAAACACAAGATTGGTCTAGTGTTCCAGGTTGAATTCTATCATTCAGGTCAAGCTAAACCACCCCTACCCCAAGCCACACACACAGAGAAAAAAAAAACGATTTAGCATAGTACTTGTCAAGTATAACATAGAAGTAAGTCTATTTTGACACTTCCATAACACAAACCCTCTTTTGTTAAGTTTCTCAGTTTCTGAACAGTATGATATCTAATCTTTATCCTTCAGTTAAGGCAGATGCATTTCTCTTTCCACCCCAAAAACAATTAAGTTGTAACCATAATGATAATTCCCTATACCATAGGAGTATATAATCATTTAATATTATGGGTGAAGACTACTACTACTTCTAATCATTTAATCTTATGAATGAATTCTCAACTAAACAAAGTACAAACTACCACTACTACTACTAAGCTTCGTTTTTGTTTTTTTTTTTTTAATGAAATAATAAGCTGTTTACTTCCAGGAAAAGGGGGTAATATATAGTGATTACTTTTTTTCTTCTTTTGCTCTTAAGGAGTAATAAGAAAACCTATTAATAAAAAGAAAGGAGTGTATGAAGAGAGGTTAGTTAGTCTGTCTTTTGGGGAAAAAAGTGTGGCAAAGCAACCAAAAGATATCTCCAGAAAGTGGAAGAGAGACACTTGATCTGATTGAAAGTGGTAATTAGAACATGGAATCCAAAAAAACAAAAAAAAAAACAAACAAACAAAGAGAGATAGAAGGGGATGAAACTAGAAACACTGGATGAACCTCATTGAGATGTACGGGGGGGGGGGGGGAGGTGTAGGAAGGAAGGAGGGAGGATCTTATTTATCAATTTTGGTATATAATGACATTTGCAAGTGTATATGATGACATACAAAAGCAGAACTTAAGCCAGAGTTTGAGCCAAACCAACCTCCCTATGCCTAGCATTTTCGGCATCCTCTGCGTCATTTTGTTCCTTGCTCAGCTTCATGATGTCATCGAGGAACTTCTGTTCAAGGCCCTCCAGAGACTGTGGCATGGGATTATCTTCATAACCAATATCCATATCTTCTTCTATTGGCTGAGATCCGTGATCTTTGCCACCTTGGTTCTCTAATGGCATCCTTGGATCTGTCCTCTGGCCCTGATAATAGGATCTTGATGCTTCGGCTCCCTGACCTATAAAACAGTCACAGTTAAACATGAGTGGCCAGCCATTATTAAAAGAACTTAGAATCTCCAATCTTATTGATTGAGCATATACTTCAAATAATGATATAATATTACCATGCTCGGAAACGATGAGACTACTAAACACGAAATAATTGGAACCCATGGTAGACAAACGCTTATATCCAATGAAAGACGTTGACAAACTCTTATTTAACAAAGATTCAGAGCATACAGCAATTAAAGTTGAAGAAAACACAAAATAGGACTGCATGATCCATTGCAAGGGTAGATAAACTTAGTTTACAGTGAAAGTAGAACCCAACACAAACTTCAAGTATACATTAAGTTCAAACACATACCACTAGTTATAACTTTGGATTACAAGAGTTGAATAGTGAGGATTATTATCATCAGCTTCCATGCAAGTAGTTATTTATCTGCAGGCTGCAGCATAAACTGGATGTTGTTGACAATTTAGTAATCGATATGCTTCAAATAATAATTTCCAATATTCCATCATCTTCTAAGGACTAATTACATACCATCTTTCAAAAGTTAGACTGCTAATAAGAGAAAACTTGAAACAAAATTCATCTAGTTACAACTTTAATGTACTGCATAAGAAACAGCTTAAAATGCTTTCTAATCTCATCACCCCAAAAAAAAAAACTACTTTTAGCAGTATTAAGAACCAATGTAAAGTGGAAACATACATATAAATGAGTCTTATTTGTAAGTACTAGAAGTGGTTGTGGTGCTTTATGCCTTTATCACTAGTAGTGTGTTAAGGAAGCTATAAATGAATAACCTTAAGAAGTACAGGGTAATAACTTTTCCATTATCAAAAATGCATTTAGTTGAGAAATTAAAATAAATGAAAGCACATATAACATTATGACATTTGATTATGTAATAGGTTTTCGCTTGCTGTAACTTGTGAAAGAAATAAAACAATCAAGCACAAAATTTGGCAGTTGAAGCATGAAGCCATGAACCAAAACATTATCCGTGATACATTACTAGTTCCATTGATTCTTATCGAAAAAGGTAACTAGCATCACTCATGAAATGGTATTCTACATGGAAATATAGAGGTTTTTCACATGCTGGTGTGTTGATTCTAGGCTTCCACAGAAAAGCGTAGTGCTTCAATTGGACCTTAGATAGTTTAGATGCCATGTGCAACCAAGATGTGATGGCATTATGGGCAGAGGTGCAAGGAGCAATATAAGATACTTGTGTAGTCCTGTTCTTAAATAGTCGGGTACAAGTCGAAAGCATGTATACAGTATACTTCCTTCATAACTCCGCCTCATAGGGGTGTTCATTCGGTTAACCGTTCGGTTAACCGAACCGTTTTAACCGAACCGAATTAACCGAACTTTTTTTTGCTTTAACCGTTAACCGAACCGAAATTTACTCTACCGAATTGACCGAACCGAACTTTTTTTCGGTTAATCGGTCGGTTAACCGATTAACCGAAATTTTTAACCCTAAAATTTAAAATCTATAAAATAATTCCTAAAATAATAATTCTAATTAAAATAAAATACATATCATAATAAATTCATATTATTATGTATTCTATTTGACATTTTGACTATTTTTTATTTTAGTAATTATATATTTAATATTTAATATATTATATATTATATATATATTCTAAAATTCGGTTAACCGTTCGGTTAATTCGGTTAACCGACACTTTCGAACCGAATTAACCGTTAACCGAATTTTAGGAAAACCTTTAACCATTAACCGAACCGAAATATTTCGGTTCGAAAACGGTTAACCGAATTTCGTCGGTTCGGTCGGTTAACCGAAATTTCTCCAAAATTTGCACACCCCTACCGCCTCATGCAATCTGGTTGGGGCAGCATATATAAATTCTATTTCTTCATTCAGCTTTCTTTAAAGCTAAATTGATCATGACTGCTTGTATAAACATATCATTTTTTAACCTCTATTCCACTAAGTGTCAGTTATAACCTTCTCCCAATTATCTCCTATTATTACCACGATCTTGTTACTAATATAAGCACCAACCATCATGTGTTTCATCAAGGATACTAGTGCTTTTTGCAGCCTACTTCATATTATCTATAATATATGAAATCCTTTTCCTTTATTTTTTGGGTTAATCTCAAGAAAAGAAAAAGTTGCAGTCTGTTTGATAATGATCAAGTAACATCGCTTCTCTGCTCAAACCATGAGTTACATAGTTGTCAGTTTACCATTTTCAGAATCAACTTTATAAAAAGGATAAATCTATTGGCATCAACAAGAAGGCATAAATTTAAAAAAATAAAATAAAATAAAATAAAATTGTGAGCAACTAGTTCACTTTTAGTGCCTTGTTTATTTCGATTTTCATAAACAATACTGGCCATATGCACAACTTTCTTTCATCATGTTTTATCTTAATCACATTATTCCAACCACTTGAATAGCTGAAGCATTAGGTTTAATTCAAATTTCTAACCACAATTCTATACTCACTTCACACTAGCGCCATTCAATCCAAGGTTTGGCTTCTTTCTAGTGGCGAAGTGCTGGAATTGAAGTAATTGCACATTAATTCCGAGCTAAAAAACATTTAAAGTAGCTACCACTGGTCTACTGTAAGAATTTCACATAACCGGAGGGAAGAAAAAAGGCAATCGAGAAAATAGAAATGAGAACTTGCCTTCAGAGAACATGTGGGGAGACATAGCGTTGGTGGGCAGTTTGGGGCTCTCTCGTTCCCATCTCCATTGCTGCTGTTGCTGCTGATGTTCTTCAGACCTGGCGTGTTGGGGGTGATGTTGAATCTGGGAATATGCGTTATTGGCGGTGGAATCTCCGGCGCCGCCGTAATGCCCCCCTCCCCGTCTCATCCTCTACACAAGCCTATGCACTTCAACACAAATCTCGTCAGCGATGGATAGAATTTTAATAAAATATACTGCTGCGAACTATGCACCACTTGGAGCCTTGCTACGAGAAGAGGGTTCCAAATGTTCTCGTTTTTTTTTAGTTGTATGGTTAAATACTCAAATTAGTGGGCTTTTTGTCGATTATTACAAGTAATTCTATATGTGCCTCGTTATTAAATTGAGAGATTAATGACTCTATTACAATGTAATATATGTTTATTACTATTATCTCAATTCTTATTATGAATTAAATCTTTAATTTTTTATTTAAAAGAGTCATTAGACCACAAAGTTATTGGCACACGTTTTGATTTATAAACATAAAAAATAAAAAATGGACTATAATTTCTATTTTCCCTTTTTTTTCCTAATAAATTTTAGATAATGGAAATTTTTTTACTTTATGATTTTTCCAATTATTATTATCGATAATTTTGATGATTATAAATGTTGAATATGTAATAAATTCTGTACAAACTTCAATAACGTATTTACTACTTAGAAGTTGTATTGTATTAATATTGTCTTACTGAATTTATTAAAAAGAGTTTTTTTTTTCCACTTTTGGTCCTATGACTTTAATGTCTCCGTCAAATTCACAACTTTCATTCATGACATAAGTAGTACTTTACTTTGATTTTTTTTTTTCCACTTTTCATCCTTTCGGCCATTTGAATTTGAGTAAATATCCAAAATGGTCCCTCGACTATAGCTAAATTCACAAATTGGTCCTCGACTTTCAATTTCAACCAATTAAGTCCTTAACTTTGTAATTTTAACACAATTTGGTCCTCTGTCTATTTGACCGTTTGTTGACTGTGACTTTTGAGGATATATATGTAATTTCATGGTCCATCATCGGTTTTTTAAGGTTCCGGTTGCATTTACAGACCGCACTGTTACATTCGAATCCACCGCCGAAAGCAATCTACCAAATCTGGTCGCCTTTCTTCATCCTCCCTTTGGATTCAATGTAGTTGAGTTCGTACCAGAGCGAAGAAGACAACGTGTTTCAGAACCGGTGAAACGTCATCCTGGAGGCCTTCACGTGCTCCGACGAGAGCTGAAGGTTCTTCTGGAGATCATCAATCACGGTCAACAAACGGTCGAATAGATGGATGATCAAATCATGTCAAAATTGCAAAGTTAAGGACTTAATTGGTTGAAATTGAAAGTTGAGGACCAATTTGTGAATTTAGCTATAGTCGAGGGACCATTTTGGGTAGAATTAATTCCAGCAATGGTCCTTCGACTATTGCGATTTTTCAAAATTGGTCCTCGTCTTTTAATTTGGAAGAAATAGACTCTTGACTATCAGATTTGTTCCAGCAATGGTCCTTCCGTTAAGCTTCAGTTTGGTTGGCGTTAAGTAGAGGGGTACAAGGGTCATTTCCTTTATTGCTTTCTTCTTCATGAGAATCGCTTTCCCGTTGGAGCGCTGTCGCTCATCCGCCATCCGAACAACAACGGATCAGCAGATGAAGCTCTCGCCACGATAGTATCAATGCATCTCTAAACATGCCAACGGCAGGAGCTTCTCGCAAGAGTTGAGTGTTTTGATGGAGTCCTTGATACTCTTAGGACAGTCTGAAAAAAATCTCTCCGTCTTCGAGATATTCTTGAGGGCCTTCGATGTAACTAGTTTTTCGCCCAAGTCCCTCTTGAATTGTCTTCTTTACTACTCCTTCGAATCCTCGACCTTTCAATCAACAAGTTTTCTGGGAACCTGAATTTCTTGCAGTATTTTCCCAACATCGAAAAGCTCTCCCTCTCCGAGAATTTGTTCACGGCCAGAATACCTCAGTCTTTGAAATCATTTTGGAATCTCTGTTTCTTAAACATTTTCGAAAACAGTTTACTAAGAGGTCCTGTGCCGGTGATGAAGCATCGGTTTGAGATCTATCACTATCAGCAGAGCTAGAGTTGAATGACGAAAATAGTACATACAGCAACTCCAAAACGCTATATTTTTGCTGAAAAATCAGCAATGGCCACAAACGCACCAGCTCCAAGACCAGAACCAAGTAGAGCAGAATGGGAAAAACACAAGAGGGCGCGGGAAGGACTCGAGTTTAACAATTTTCAATCCACTGATTAAGAAAGCTGAGGACTTGTCTTTCTTGGAGAAAGAAGATGGATTGGCATCGCTAGAGATGATTGGAAAGGGTGGATGCGGAGAAGTTTACAAAGCTGAGGACTTATTCATAAGCCTGCTATCTTCTTTATAGCTCTGTTATCAATTCATGAAAGCTTTCGACTTTTCGACATCAAAGGAAACTGAACCGACAAAAAACACAGAAACAACTCCATGAGTTTATCTATATATACACTATACTGGAAGTTTCATTGAACCAATGAGGGGAAGAACACAAACCTTGTAAAGATGGAAGGTCATGTCATCTGCTTCGATTATCACATCGCTGGGTAACCAGTAGTGCAAAACTTGAGAAAAAGAAAGAAGAATCAATTGAAAGAAAAATTCAAGCAATAAAGGAAATGACCCTTGTACCCCTCTATTTAACGGCAACCAAACTTATGCTTAACGGAAGGACCATTGCTGGAATAAATCTGATAGTCAAGGGTCTATTTCGTCCAAATTAAAAGACGAGGACCAATTTTGGAAAATAGCAATAATCAGAGGACCATTGCTGGAATTAACTCATTTTGGGTATTTACTCTTTAAATTTTGAACGACAACTTTTAATTGGAATCAATAAATTGCATTTTATATTAGATTTTAGAGAGGTAAATAAGTTTTCCACCATCACTTAAACAATAAACAAAAGAAAAATTAAAGCCAACATCTCATTATCTTCTTTTTACCGTATCTTCTTCCTCTTACTGTAAGCACACATGGACAAAACCTCTACAAACCCTAACTCAAATCAAGCCAAAAATTCTTCTCAATCAGCAATGCCAGGACGAAATCAAGGAAGAAACAAGTATAATATTGTCGTATCTGGCATGACTTCACAAATAGTTGCATCTTCTTCGAACATTACGACATACGGTAAGAACACTGAGTAAATGATAAAAAAAAAAATTGAGTTTTTATAGTTATGGGGGATGGGGGATGTTTGTATGAATTGGGTAGTAGTCTACGAGAGAGGCAAGGGTACCAATTTATCTATTGATTTTGTATGGTTTGTATGAGTTGTATTTGTCGATTTTATTCAATTTATCGTTGTGCATTTAGGTGGGGACCATAATATGAAATACTTTATCTCTTTTTTTATGTAATTGGTATTTGGTAAAACATTGATTTATTTGAAGTGTTTGCCAGTTCTTTTGCATTTATGTGGGAACCATGGTTAGAAAGCTTGTTTGTAGGCTCCATTATACATGATTTCAAAGACTTCATACTTGTCATTTCTTTTTTGGCAAACTTTTCATTTTTTATTTAAGCTTCAACAATTCAACCAGTGTTTAGTTTTCAAGATCAGAGTAATAGTTATGTAATTTAATTTTAGTATCATTCCTGAACATCTAACTAGTTTGTAACTGAAAAAAGGCTTTGCTCTAATTTACTAGGTTATTCCAGTTAATACTTAATGGATAAATTAAGGCAATAAGTAGTATGGACTATTTTATTATGATTTCAAACTTATCAACAACTTGGATCACATGTGATATACTAAATGAATTGTTTTCTTGTTAGATCTAGTGTAAGGATCTCTCACTATGCAAGGTTTAGGGAAGATAAGAAGTGATTATAGAGGTTATTTCTAAGGCTTGAACCTGTGACTTAACGTTAGTCCGTGATCACTTCACATAAATCACCGATATTTTTGTGATCTTTTGATATTGTTAATATTGTGCCTAATTTTATACATTTATTTAAAAATTGAAAAAGAAAGAAGCTAAGAGACATAACGGGCATTCAAATTTCTATATCCCGTTTTTTTTTTTTTTTTTTGTAGAATTAGAGGTATCCTTAAATTATAATCAACATAATTCTCTAAAAATATTTTGGTGTCCTTTGGTTATGTAAAAAACTAAAAGTCCTTTCAGGGGTTATGAAGCATGCAGATGGATTTTGAGACTCATGTAGACCCATTACGTGAAATTGGTGGGGTTAGGGATATTTTATATAATTCATTTGAACCAAACCTTTTTGATGATGCCTCTGTTGTGGATTGAGACAGTGATGGTGAGATATCAGGTAGTTTGTGGACTAATTTTAGGCCAAGTAGTGATATGAATGACCCACATTTCACTCTAGGTATGACATTTGCCTCTAAGAAAGGAGGATTCAATGATGCATTGCAAAACTATGCAATTAAAAATGGTCAAAGATCTTAAGGTTGTGAGGAATGATAAAGAGAGATTCATTGTAGAATGCAAAACTGATGAATGTCCTTTTAGAATAAGTCTTAGAAAAGTGATTAACTCTTTGTCATGGAGAATTTTAAAGATGAAGGAAAATCATGAAGGTTGTTCATGGGCCTTTAATTTGATAATGGGATGTTGAACTCATCTTAGGTAGCTAAGAGATGGTGTACTGAGATCAAATTTCATTCAGATTGAAAGATGCTCAAGTTTAAAGATAAAGTGTGTAATGATGACAAGTTTAATATAAGTGAAAGGCAAACTTATAGGGTGCTAGCCAAAGCAAAAACCATGATTCAAGGAAATGAAGAAGATAACTTTAACAAGATTTGGAATTATGTGTTAGAAATTAATAGAACAAATCCAATGTCCACATGTTCAATTAAGTTGAGTGAACTACAAGAATTGAATGGAGATAGAAGATTTCTAAGGTTCTACATGTGTTGGGACTTGGGATGCATGCAAGAAGGGCTTCAAGTATTGTAGGCCAAATATTGGAGTTGATAACACTCACTTGAAGAATTTAACAGGAGGTGTGTTGTTAATTGCAATTAGAATAGATTCCAATTATAGCATTTTCCCTTTATGTTATGCTATAGTTGAGAAGGGATTTGGAGATTTCATACGATTTTGAGCATGAATTTACTCTAATTTCTAACAAATAAAAGGGTATAATTGCAGCACATCAAGATGTTCTACCAAGAATGGAACACGGATTCCAAGGTAAGTTTATTAAAGATGCATTGTGGATACGCCATGCCAGATACGCCAATATTATACTTGTTTCTTCATTGATTTCGTCCAGGCGTTGCTGATTGAGAAGAATTGTTGGCTTGATTTGAGTTAAGGTTTGTAGATGTTTTGTCCATGTGTGCTTACAGTAAGAGGAAGAAGATACAGTAAGTAAGAAGAATATAATGAGATGTTGGCTTTAATTTTTCTTTTGTTTATTGTTTAAGTGATGGTGAAAGACTTATTTACCCCTCTAAAATCTAAAAGACAATTTATTGATTCCGATTAAAAGTAGTTGCTCAAATGGCCGGAAGGACGAAAAGTGAAAAAAAAAAAACTAAAAAAAAAAAATCAAAGTCAAGCACTACTTATGTCAGGAATGAAAATTGTGAACCTAAGTTGCCGGAGGCACTAAAGTCATAAGATCAAAAGTGAAAGAAACTATTTATTAAAAATAGATAGATAATTCTATCTAAAGATACACATAAATATAAACTTGTCAATAATTACATAGAAAATGTTGAAAGATATCATGAACATTTTTAAAATACTTGTGTTATTAGTATTGTGGTGAGTGGTGACTATTGCAAATTTGTACAATTTTGAAATTGATGGTTTTCTTGAATTAGACACACAACAAAACTAGATATTCAATGACAAAATAGACAATAAATAAGGAAAATGTAAAATAAGACTGTGGACTACATGTGCCTTTTTAGTTTCTTAATTGATATTAGGAAAAATGGTCCTTAAACTATTGCTCAAAAGTCAATTAGCCCTTTCAATTTTTTAAAGGTGTAATTACACCCATGAACCATGCATTTTGATGCAATGAAGTCCAAATACATGTAAATGACCTGCTATCATAGGTCATTACAGATCCGATCACTTTCCGACATATTTTCATGCAAAAAAGTGACCGACGAACGGTCGTTGGTCACAGAGAAGGCGACCATCCTCCACCGGAGAAGGCAACCCAAATCTGGGTTGCCTTCTCCAGTTGAGAAGGCCACCACAATGGTCGCCTTCTCCAGTTGAAAGTGATGCTACATATTTCACTTAAAATTTTCTTCATTATTTTCTCTCATGAAAGGGCATTACCTAATTGGTTACTTTAATGTTTAATTGAAAGTAAGTGGGGTCAGTCAATTAATAACACCCAATATTTATAAACTACATCATTAGGAAAAAATTGGAGGAGAAAATAACATTGCCCTATTTTAAATGAATCAACAATACATTAAGAATAAACTTTCAATATACTAAAAATGAATTTGTATATTAGTGATACACGACGATTGTTGCCCTCCTCTTCAACCCCTTCCAGGTCTAATTTAGACCACTTCTATGCCCCTCGAGCTTCTCTCTCTCTTCTTTTTTTTTTTTTTTTTTTTTTAACATACAAGGTCTTATATTCTCATTATTATAAAATTCATCCAAACTTACCTAAAACTCTTTAATTTTGCCCTAAGTCAGGTTAAGCATTTAGCATATTTATGCGCTTAGTAGGCCGGTCCCAAGAATTCGCTAACACCTTCTTTTGAAGGTTCCAATTGTAGCCCAAAAAAAATATTTATGTGTAAAAAAAAATAATCAGATTGATGAATAGATAATTAGATCGTCATTCTGGTCCAGCCGTCTAGGAGCACCCATCTAAGTGAACCAAAGGAGGTATTTGGTAGAATGGAATTGTAATTCCATTCCTACCAACCTCCATAAAATTTATATTCTATACTTTGGTTGGAGAAAATTGCAATTCCTAGGGTCCGGTTAGGAATTGCAATTACATTCTTGTTATGGGTAAGATAGTAATTCAACAATGAATTACTATTTTACCCTTATTATTATTATATTACTATACAAAGACATTTTAGTCTTATTCACTTCTTCTCTTTCAACTCTCAGTCATTCTATTCATGCCTAAACAATTTAATTTGAATTTTAACAATTACAGCCCCTCCCCCAATTCCCTCTTTCCAACCAAACACCCCGCAAAAGTTATAATATAATGGTAACTCAATTGTTATATATAGGTCAATTTAGTCAAGTCTCACATTCTCCTTTACTGCATGAATTGTACCAATTTTGAGGTGTGCACATAGTGAGAATCTACTTCCATCAACATATCCCCCACTGATTTGGTGGGGGGGAAAAAAAAAAGAATAAGGACTGAGACAGTAAAAACTATTTCTGCAATACTAGGTGTTATAAGAAGAAACTCAGATATGCGTGTAACCGATAGGACTAACCAAAAACCAAATCTTAAGACTCAAAAGAGGGTTGGGATTTTAGTACACTGGTGCGTTTAAAACTAATACATTCAATAACGAAGTAAAATGTTTACAATAGTAAGGTTATTTTCTACAATATCCAGAACAAAGAATTAAACAATTTCATCGAGTCACAGAAGCTACATCAACCAAAAACACAAGACATTAACAATATGCAGTCTCCAAATGCATCATTTAACACATTCCAGAAATACTGACTGAGATCATTTCAGATGGCCTTCAAAATTCCAACCTAGTTTCTGCCAAGACTAACAAGGTGATGATGCACGACAAAGACAGCCTTAAAGAGCCAATTATGTGAGCCTGATGACTGGCACTTCTGCCGGTCTTCAGCTTATTGTAGCATGTCAAAACTAATGGCCTATGAAGCCCAGCCAGTGGAGGAGGATGGCCAAGAGCAACATAAGTATTGCCAAGATCATACCAGGCTTTCCCAAAAGCCAATTTTTCGTCCTTTTGGCACCCTCGACTCCTCTTTGAAATCTATCTACCCATTTCATCTGCATTTTTAGACAAATAAAGACACTAGGAACTTCAGTGGAAGTATCACAGTAACAGCTTATAAAAGATATATTGGTTTGTGAATTACGAGGAAAAAACTAGGCTAGACACAAGTAAGGGTGTCAAAGTGGGCCGAAGCCCGCAGGCCAGCCCTAAACCGCCCCACAGTGGGGCGGGTTAAAGCCTAAAAGGCTAAATTTTTTGGCCTGAGAAAATGCAGGTCACGGGCCAAGCCCACGCGGGTTGGCGGACTACGCAGGCCAACCCACAGGCTTTCAATTCAATATATATACTAAAAAATAATTATTAAAAAACTTTTTGAAGTTGGCCCGCAGGTGGGGGTCAAGGTTGAAGAATTTTAGCCCGCAGGCTTACGGGTCCGCCTGCAAAAACCCGCAAAAATTTCAACCCACAGTGGGACGGGCCAGCCCGCATTGACACTACTAGACACAAGGAATGTGCAGTCTGAAAGAAACATCCCCATAACACACTAATACTAAAGGAGTCCAAGGCAAGGCAAGAATGAGCATTCATCAGGGTGCATATGACAGCACAAGAAAACATAACTCCTATCTACATATAATTATAACCTAGCGGAACCTAGGAGTAATTCATTGACGAAAATGTACTATTGTTGTTCTTAAATAAGAATGATAAAAGGCATGTGATTAATTAACATTACTTTTACTAAATATCTTAGGCCAAGAAAGAAATCATTGGAATAAGAAAAGGGAGATTTCCAATATGATCGATCATATCAGTTTAGCAATAAAGTACCATTTTTTCCAAGTCATCCGGTGATAAAGATGACATGGCCTGCTGAGCTTTTTCTGCATCCTCCTGAGAAAGATTAAGTCCAAATTGTTTGCTCATGTTAGCCATCATATCTGGGCTCATGTTTTTAACCATGGAGGAGAACATCTGCGAAATTTTCAAAAAACAGAATGTCAGATGGTTTAAGACAAGCTACTGTCTGCCCAGTGACAGTAGTTTGTTATGTAACAACATTTGAAAATAAACAAGCAAAAGACAAACCAATGGAGAATGAATTGGAGAGGGTAAAGGAGAATGTAAATAAAAGGATTTTAACCTATATAGTTGTTTCACTCAATACTTTGAAAAAAGATACAAACAATACACTCATTGCAAAGTAAAAAAAGAAATGGTAAAATAAATGAAATTAGCAGCTCTGCATACGAATGGATTCAAGCAATCCACGCTACATACCTGCCGCATAGCTGGATCGTTCATTTGGTTTCTCATTTGTTCTTGCAGATCAGCAGCTGAGCTTGATAAACCAGAGTTAGAACCATTTCTAGAATTTAGAAGTCCCTGGGATGAGCTACTAGTACCAATGTTATCATCCACTTTGAAATTTTCACGAGTCTCTTGAGCTCTCAACTGTTCATTAGAATTGGATGCTGCAGCAGCTCTTGCAGGATTCTTTTCTTTGAAAGAGGGTGCCATTTGAAACATCTTTTGGAGATCATCAGGAGACATCTTACCCATAATATCAGTCGCCATTTTCATCATATCAGGAGTCATATTTGGAGGCACTGAACCAGGACCAAAGCTATCACTAGTTGAGTTTGATGAACCTCTCTTTGTAAATGGGGTTTCTCCTTGGAACGAGGAAGCCATTTGAACCATTCTTTGAAGTTCTTCTGGGGACATCTTGCCAATAATATTGGATGCAGTCTTCACCATATCAGGAGGTATGCCTTCAGCATTTGCACCGCTAAGGGAAGCCCAAGTCTCCGGATCAGCACGAGAAACAAAATTTTGGAAGGATCTATTGTCATACACCAGAAGGAAAAAGACAATGAGGATTAAGCAAAGTTGAAGGCTTAAGGCTAAATGCAAGGAAGACAGCAAGAAATACACACACTTTTAGAAAGAGAAGAGGAAAACCCAAAGGTAAAAAGGGGATAAGGAATTCCAAAATGAAAAATAAATAATATGACCTTTTTTTTTGAAGACTGATATGACCTTATTAAATTTCATTTCTTCACTCATATAACCAATAATAAAACCATAGCAAAAGCAAAATAATTAAGATGAATAAGATGCATAGCCAGTAATGAAGTCAGCTCTAGATAAATTCCATATGTTCATAAAGACATGCTGGATGGAATATGAAAATTGCAACCACATTGTGAATTAGCTAATTGGATTGTTTATGAACTAGTAAATAAACTATCTTATAGAGAGAGTAAACCTGATTGATTCAGGATCATCTTTTAAAGCTTGCAAACACTCAGAACTAGATGAAGGAGGTCCGCCATGTATTGCTTTTTCATGCAAATGCTCTGAACTAGAGGCCTCTTGTTTTGTTCCTTGTGGTTGTAACATAAAACTTTCAGCAGTTGAATTTTCGGGTTTTTTAGATGACCCAGTTGACTCGTCTTCAGTTATTTCTTCAATGACTAATTCTGTTAAGTAAAGTCAAATAATCACTTTCCACAAGTTTAGAAAATAGCAGTTTCAGACAAACATAAGATTGAGTGCTTGAATCAAGGCAATAAAAGAGACAAATAGACCATAATGTTCAATAGCAATATTATGCATGTCTTATATGTAGGAAGCACATACTTCTTGAAGCATGCCCACCGCCTTGTTTTGCCAAACGTTCTTTAACATCCCTGCAACAGTTTTTAAAAAATGCATACTCAAACCTTGATGAGTAAAGGTTGCTTCAAACAAAAAATGTAAGAATAGCCCAAAACTTGATGCAACAAATTTTTTTTGGAAGGGATCAGAAAGGAATAGGGATAGGATGGAATAATTCCATATACATAACAAATATGAAAAAAAAAAAAAAAAAAAAAAAAAAAAAAAAAAAAAAAAAAAAAGAAGTTTCTCTGCAGTATCCACAATAAACTGCAATACCTTAGGACATTTTCGATAGTTTCATCATCAGGTGAAATTTCATGTGCCTTAGTCAAGTCAGACACTGCATCCTGACATATAACCAAAAATTAATAATAATTTTTCAATATGTTAAAACTTAAAAGTGAAAAAGACAAAATGCACCAATGAACACAAAACCTCAGTAAACACTCACTTCTAGATGTCCCAGTTCTTTATAAGCTTGACCCCTCCGGTAAAGAGCTTTAATATTGTTTGCATCATATTCCAAAACCTGCACATTGTAATCAAGGATGCAAATAAAGAAACTATATCCACATTAAGGAGCTTTTCAACTAAAAAGAACACATAAATGAAAAAAAAAAAAAACATCACCAAATACACAGGTACATGAAGGGGAGATGTAATTAGTCATACCTCAGTGCCTTCCATTATGCAGTCATCATACAGTCCAGTCTTTAAGAAACATGACATCAAATTCAAAGAACATGCCATTAACAAATTTCTGCCTTTCGAGGCAGGAATGTCCTTCAAGTTTTTCTTTGCCTGAGAATAACAAGATAAAGAACATGAAATTTTGCTCAAGAATACATTAACATGTGCAAGCAGTGCAAACAAGGAAACTGAAATGCATATCTTTTGACTTACAAGCAAATATTTCTCTGAGGCATCAGTGAAATTTCCCTGGTTGTGAAGATCATTCCCCTGCAATTGTAGACATGAATTCATTAATACTCGGCAATGTAAACATGAAATATTCATAGCATACTCAAAGACACAGTGAAAGCATGGTTAACAAGGAATCAGTTTTTAAAATCAACCAAAGTTGGTACAAAAATATCTGGACTGATAATGCCAGATATAAATCAGAAGATGCTTATAGAATTGGCAATTACAGAGTGGAAAGATGTTATTCACAACTATCAAACTCATTACCAGTGGACAAACTACCTGTTTCTTAAGCATCTGAGCTGCATTTAGTTCATAATTAATCTGTGCATCTAGACGGGAACGCATGGCAGCTAATTCTTCAGGTGATGCATTAGCCATCTTCTCACCAATCTCGGCCATTTCCTCTGGCCGGGTATGCTTCAACTGTTCTGCAGCATTCCTCAGGTCCTCCGGCCTAAAATTTTTCATGCTTTCGGAAGCCATTCTAATCAACTCAGGATTAGACATCATCTGCAGTATCAATAGTTGTTCAAAGATGATCAGGTTCACATGATCAATCAAAGCAACCGCAAATTCCATCTAGTCGCATTACGAGACACGGCACAATATTCAACGTAGATGTTAGTATATATAACCTTAATCACCCAAATCAACTAATAACCTATACAAACCCTATGCTAATTAAGTAAATACACACATAAATAACAATATCCGTAAGAACAACATAAAATTTGGGGAAAAGTGCAGGCAGAAACGGGGAACCTGCTGCTGAATCCGAGCCAACTCAGCGGGCGACATACGACTCATCTGCTCTTGAGCGATTCTGAACATCTCCGGATCCATCATCCCGTTCATCATTTCTTCAGAATATCGAATTTCTCTACCACAATTCGTTACTATTATCACAGAGATAACAAAATTAGATCAAAATGAAACACGCCAAATGAAAAATAGGTAATTCTATCCGGCGAATTTATCAAAAAGGGTTATGAAATCGAATCTGCGTTTCAGAAAGAACGAGACGAAGAAAAGATGTTCGGTATTGTAATTTGTAACCGATCTTGTGGGGAGACGATCCGTTGTAGATAGATGAATGGGGAAATGGAAATTTAGCGATAAAATAGTAGTCGTAATTGGTTGGACCGCCTACCAGAACCGAAGAGAAAAATGGAGATTTTCGAATATATGCTTAGCTTCGTGGAAACACACCGCTGGGTGCTGATCTTTTCTGGCGTTCAACTTTAATGCACGCAGGTAGGTAAAATATTGGTAATAGTGTGTCCAATATGGAGCAAATTAAACCACAATTATGGACTTATGGTGGTAAAAGAATCAAATGTATTCTTGGTGATGAGAACGTAATTGGCAATCCATAATTCAGACAAGTATAAGATGTCCATCCTAACCATAAAAATAAATAAATTAATATAATCAGTACAAGTAATAAGTGTAACTTTTGGGCATGTTTAATGAATTAAACATTATATTATATAAATAAATATATAAAAATTATTGGTCCAATGGCATTTTGCTGCGGAGTGTCTACGCAATATCTTTGATGGATAATGTCTTTCTCATGGAAAAACTCCACCATGCTGAACTCTAGACCAGCGCAAAATTTTGATAGAGGCACCAAATTGTGTGTGTATTAGATTATAGAAGCCCTTAATCAGAACCCTCACTTTAGATTTGTTAGTGGCAGCTACCATGGTATGTTGCTTGCTCCTGGACTTGTAGCCTGGTATCCATCTCGGGGATAACCGTGTTTCTTATAACACTTTTTCACGGTATGTCCCGTCATGCTACAAAAGGTGCATTTGGCTCATTTGATGTTAATGTTGCTCGTGTTCCTCCTTGCATTGTAAACATTGATGGCCGCTATTGTTTCATCTGTTTGTGACTGGGCATTTTGAACTGCATTAGCATGGCTAACTTTCAGAGTGTTGAGACTTAACTTTTACAGATTCAGCTGCCTATTAAGCTTCTCTCCCATCACGAACACCTCGTAGACTTCTAACAATGGATCCATTACAAGAACACCGAATCTCAGGCTACTATACTACTCATTTAAACTTGGGAGAAACCTTATCACCTGATCAACCCCACGATCATCTCTTATTATATCAATAACATCACAAGTGCATCTTGGATCACACACGCATAAGGGAAAGGCCTCAAGTTGTTCATCTCTTCCTAGAGAGTTATACACCTGGTATAGTAATCGTTGACGCTCATGCTCCCTTGTTTCAAGGAGTATATTTCGTTCTACAAAGCAGAGATACGGTGAGGATCACGCTGGGAGAATCTCCTTCTCAGATCTTTTCATACATCCTTCACTTTGTCCATATGCATGATGCTCTGTGCAATTGATGGAATGATCGACTTGAAGATCCCATAAACACACCATCAAATTGCACCTCCTTCATGCAGCGAACTCCGATTGACCTCTAGTCGGCACAGTGATAGTTCCGTCAACTACGCTCCATTTATTCTTGACTTCAAGTGCGATCCTCATATAGAAATGCACCATGATCCATAGTTTCAACTCCTGGTTAAGGGAGGAGTAACAAGGAGTCAAGGATAGCGCATGGATTGTCATTGATGCTGAGATGTAAAGGATTTTCCAGATCCTCTGGACCTTGATTCCTTTGTGTGAACAAGTTCCGCTGCGGAGCTATTACTGGAGTGGTGTGAGCAGGAGAACACGTGATTGCGCGATGCTGGACGCATTCCTTGACTCGTATCGTCGACATTGGAGACGGCAACGGCGTAGGTGCTTCGTCGTGGCTATGATACCATGACAAAGTAGCTACTGGAGGGAGCGTTATGTTGTGCAACCGTGTGCGCCATGCATGGTGCACACGGTTGTAAAAACAACGTCGTTTTGACGTCCGAATTATTAAAAAAACAAATCAGAATTGCATAACTACACATTCATAACTTCATAACTATACACCCAGGATTACATAACTACACATCCATAACTTCATAACTATAAATCCAGAATTGCATAACTACACATCCATAACTCCATAACTATACATTCAGAATTACATGCATAACTACATATCCATAACTTCATAACTATACATTCAGAATTGCATAACTACACATTCATAACTTCATAACTATACATTCAGAATTGCATAACTACACATCCATAACTTCATAACTATAAATTCAGAATGTGAAATTATAACTTCATAACTATACATTCAGAATTGCATGCATAATTACACATCCATAACTTCATAACTATAAATCCAGAATTGCATAACTACACATCCATAATTTAATAACTATAAATCCAGAATGTGAAATTATAAAATTATGAACATATATTTACATAATTAACGGCAATCGAAAATGTTTTTTTTTATTTAAGTAAAACGATGCCGTTTTTGCATCTGTATGCACCATGCACAGTATAATTTGGAGAGTTATAGAAATCATATTTGTTCATTACAGGTGGAAGAAGCTAATTGAATTACAGAGAGGGCAATGACCAACTTATACACCAGGTGGTTAGAACGTAAAAGAGAAGGGAAAATACAAAATACCCTTAGCTTGTATTAGCTTTATTTTTACGCTCTAACAGTAGATGTAGATTATTATTATTTTTGTGGTAAGATTATTATTATTATGGGAGAAGAGAAGATTATTATTATTATCAATGTTGCAAAAATCGCGTCTAGGCGTCGGGCGCCATTGCGCCGCCGCGAGGAACGGCCTCCGCGGCCGGACGGATCGGCGGTTCGACGGTTTTTTTTTTTTTTTTTTTTTTTTTTTTTTTTTTTTTTTTTTGAAAATGTCAGAAAAGTTTCGGAAGGCATAACTTTTGACTCGGTTGTCCGATTTGGATAATTTTTTTTTTTCAAATCGCGTATTTTTTCGAGATCTATCCACCGCAAACCGCCAAAGGCGGTTTTGGTCCACTAATTTCTCAAAAAAATGCTTCTTTAGCTCTTAATTTTAGTTTTTTTTTAATGTATTTAGATGGTTTAAACAATTTTTTGAACACTTTTACAACCACTTTCGTAAATAATTTCTAAGAAATAACTATAGAAACCTTATGTTTTATTACTAAATTTTAAAAATTTTAAATTTTAAATTTTATTTTTAATTAAAAATAAATAAATAAAATAAAAATAAAAATAAAAAATCGGCGTCTAGGGGGCGCCTAGCGTGTTTTGCAACATTGATTATTATTATTATTATTATTATTATTATTATTATTATTATTATTATTATTATTATTATTATTATTATTATTATTATTATTATTATTATTATTATTTTGTTGTATATATATATATGGATAGATATAGATAGATAGATGCGTCACATATTAAGGAGGCCTCTTGCTAATAATTGAAGTATGGTCGCTATCACTTTGGCCCCCATCCTTGTTATGTTTTTGTCCTACTCATACAAAGCCACCTCCTTTTAACTTTTTCTGTGTTCTTTAATTTCCAGCTTCTTCTATAACTTTTCTCAATTCCGATCCTCTCAAGCGTGATACACTGAGGGAGAGAGAGAGAGAGATGTCAGATGCCATGGCTGCTTCTGCCTCCATTGCCGCCGCTGATCCACCGCATGAGGTGGAGAATTGCAGAGGTGTTCTTTGGGTGTACAGTGATGGGTCCATAGTGAGGTCCAGCAAGCCAAGCTTTGACGTGCCGGTGAACGACGACGGTTCCGTTGTTTGGAAAGATGTTACCTTTGACGCCGTACACGACCTTCAGCTCCGGCTGTATAAGCCGGCGGTGATGCCGTCTCCGTCGAAGCTCCCGATCTTCTACTATATCCACGGTGGCGGTTTCTGCATCAACTCGCGGACATGGCCCAGCTGCCATAACTACTGTCTGAAGCTTGCTTCCGAGATCCCCGCCGTGATCGTCGCCCCGGACTACCGGTTGGCGCCGGAGAACAGGCTGCCGGCGGCCATCGAGGACGGCTTCGCATCCGTGAAGTGGCTCCAAGCCCAAGCCACGTCAGAGGAGGCGGATACGTGGCTCACGGAAGCCGCTGACTTCGACAGAGTCTTTATCTCCGGCGACTCCGCCGGTGGGAATATTGCTCATCATTTGGCTGTTCAACTCAGGGCCGGTTCACCCGAGCTGTCTCCGGTTCGGGTCAGGGGTTATGTTCTTCTAGCCCCCTTCTTCGGTGGCACTGTGAGGACAAAGTTTGAAATGGAAGGTCCAAAAGAGGCTTTCCTAAATTTGGAGCTTATAGACAGGTCAGATCAAAGTATCTCCCTGCGGGCTGGGCCTGGCCCGGCCCGCACCAACATCGTACCCGTACTCTCCCGACCTCCTCTCTTACTAAGTTCCGTTAAGGACTGCTTGCACAGACGCTCTTATGTTATTTGTGCCCTAACATACTCAAGTCGGGACCTACCTACTGACTTGGTTCGAGTAGCAAAATGCAAGACTTTTAGGAATATCAGAGCACGTGACCAAGTCCCATTATGCCCCGATCTGAGTCCATGCATGTGTTTCAAGTGCGATGCATGCCCCGAGACCTGAACTTGTTCCCTCTGCTTGACTATAAATACCACATTTTTGACTATTTTTATAAGTTGATTATTGGTTCGGGAATCTCTGACCTATTGTCAAGTATTTCGAGCTCTAGAACTTAAATCAATAAGTAAACTAGGCAAAAGATCTGAACCGAGAACAGACCCTAGAATCGTACTTGTGGTTGATACCGTCGGTATATACTACGTGAATAACAAATTGTTGATATATGTTTTGGGTTTTTTGGTAGGTTTTGGAGGCTGTCAATACCAGCAGGGGCGACGACAGATGATCCAATAGTGAACCCATTTGGACCGGATAGCCCAAGTTTGGAAGAGGTGAAAGTAGACCCAATTTTGGTGGTGACAGGGGGAGGTGATCTGCTGAGAGATAGAGGCGAAGATTATGCAAAGAGATTGAAGAGCTTTGGGAAGAAGATTGAGTATGTAGAGTTTGAAGGACAACAACATGGGTTTTTCACTATCAACCCCAATTCTCAACCTGCCAAGGAGTTGATGCTTATCATCAAACGCTTTATTGCAGAGAATTCTGCATAAGACCATAATGTTTCTTCATAGTTTCTGTCAAAATAAAATGATCTATATAAAATCCAATAATTTCATTGTCAGATATGCTTTAATGCATATTTGTTGTGAAACATGACCATTGTGTGTTTTGATTAATTAAAGTGAAAATTACACTTTTCATCTCTAAGTTATATAATACTTAAAAGATTCGTCTGTACATTATTACAAAAAAATGTTTTTAAAGTCGATTATTTGTAAGTTGCAACGTGGATTATATTGTGTAGTAGATATTATCTTAGTAGTAAATAAATCATACGAAGTGGATTACAATATATGTCATTTTTTTTATAGTTAACGAAATGATGTTAATTATTTATGAAAATCTAACGTCGTATCATTTTTAAAAAATTATTAAAGAGATACGACATCAATTTTGTAAGAAATTCGATGTCGTATCTTTATTAATTTTTTAATGACGAAATATATATGATATTGACTTTTTTTAATAGGAAAGTGACATTGTATATCTTTATTAAATTTTTTAAAAATAATATATCGCGTTGGTTTTTCTTTAAAATCAACATCGTATTTAAAAAAAAAAAAATGATATTACATCAATTTTTTCTTTTAAAAAAATCAATACAGTATCTCCTTATTTAAAAAAAAAATAATAATTTATAATTTCTACCAAAAAAAATCAATACAAATGTATCAAATCACAACATATACAAAACCTTTTCATAAAGTCAACGTTTTCCACTTCCTGATAGTCATCAATTTCAGCATGCCTAAGAGCAACTCCAATCAACCCGTCAAAATTAAACACCAAAACGACAAAAATAAAAATAAAAATGACGTGAACCCTCTCCAATCAGCATGCCAAAAGCACCATACTTTTGCCGCACCATGAACACTGCAACGCCATATTTGGCGTTGCAATGTTCATTTGCACCAAAATTTGGTGTGCATTTTATTTTTCCACTTTACCCCAACTTTTATTTGTAATTCTTTTTATGTCCTTAGATTAGTTTTAATGTTTTTGTATATTTTGTTAAATTGTTAAATATAAATTTTATATTATTAAAAAATTATATCATTTGAAAGATCTCATCAAGACAGACGATTAAAACAAAATTAATATTACATATAATTTAATTAAAAATAAAATTACATAAAACATAATACAAGTTTAATTTATTAAATTACAACTATATATTATATTAAAATAATAAAAGTATAAATATAAATTTTTAATTTATGAGAATATGAATTATTTTAGTACAGGAATAAAATTTGGTGTAATAGGTAGGAGATGAAAAAGATTTGGTATAAGAATAAGGTGTGAATATTTCTTTTGGTGTAAAATTTGGTGCAGAGGTTAAAGATGGTCTAAGAACTCTACAAACAAGTCAACAAGCACGGTTAATAGCGAGCTCTTTAGTCATTATACAATCATTATTGCATGGACCATGGTCCACACAATTGTGTGGACCATAAATAAAAAGGACATTTTTAATATACTAATGGTACATTATTTATATATGTACGTAAGGTACATTTTTAATATACATTATACGACGCTGAACAAATTTTTTTAATTATTATTTTTAAAGCAGAAGTAGAAAATCAATTTGACAAAAAGGTTAAGAGACTTCATTTTGATAGAGGAGATGAATATGAAACAAACTTTCTCAAAAATCAGCGTAAAATTGACATTATACATGACGTCACTACACCTTACACTCCCCAAAAAATGGCATAGCTAATAGGAAAAAAATTAGAAAACTTAAAAAAAAAAATGATTAACGCAATGCTAATCAGTTTTGGTGATCCAAACTCCTTGCGGGGAGAAGTTGTCTAACGACGAATAATATCCTTAACAGGATACCCATAAGGGCTTTGAGAAAATCCCCTATGAGTTATGGAAAGGACATTCTCCATTAAAATATTTTAAAGTGTGAGGGTATTTGATGAAGGTAGGTATTCTGTCTTTTAAAATACCCAATCTAGGATCTAAAATCTTAGATGCTATATTTGTTGGGTATGCTGAAAACAATGTTGTCTATAGATTGATGTGTTTAGAAAATCGCTCAATGTGTGAATCTAGAGATGCCGAGTTCCTTGAACACATATTTCATCTGAAAAATGTTCACAATATTATTTGCTGATAATCTTCTCGAAAAATGAACATGTGTTATTTCCCACACCTTGCCTTAAAAATGATATTGAACAACCAAGAAGAAGCAAAAGGCTTATAACTGAAAAGCATTTTGGTTCTGATTTTATAACCTTTAAACTTTCGTTAGTATGTCTTTAATGTTACCATAATTATCTTACATCGTTAAACTTTCGATAGTATGTCTTAAACGTTACCATAATTATATTTAATCATTTACCATATTTAAAATTCTTACTTTAACAATTATTAATCATACCATAATTATTACCCAAATGATCAACTATGAATTATTTTTTTTAAAAAAAAATATATACTACTCCGTATTATTAAAAAAATATTTTAATATAACTAAGATTTTAATATTGAGTATTAATATTGGACATCTAGCTTTGCATCACGCATAAAAAAGGACTAGTAATAATAGTAATAATGAAATAACCAATATTTTAATCGTAACTACCTAACATTATTATTATTATTATTATTATTATTATTATTATTATTATTATTAAATTAAATTAAATGTTACTTAACATTAGTATATCATGATTCAAATATGATACTAAATATAATCAATTTATCAAAATCCGATCCAAAACTAATAATGATAGTAACGATTCGGTTTATTGATCTCTCAATTCAATAATCGATAATCGTTATTACTTTTTAGCAATGTCAATAATTATTACATTACAATAATAACAGAATAATAATTTTTTAAAATCGTAACTTAATAGCATTTAATAATAATTATTATTAAATGTCACATAATATTATCATTATTAACATATAAATTTTGGATAAACAAATTCAAAATATTATTCTCAAAATCATTCTTCCAAAAGGCTGAACCCCAACCCTAAGGGCCCCCACATCCCGACCCGACAGAGCATTTGGGAAGATGTAAATTATGGTGACTCAACTGAACATGAACCATAAAGGCTAGACCGGTGCTCACTGCGCACAAGAAGCTCCCCTCACTTTGAGAGTTATTCTCAAAATCATTAAAAATACAAAAAGAGAGACAATATCCAATTGCCACAGTAACATTTTTTTTTCCTCCAAAATTTAATATAAGATCGTTATCCATAATAATAATAAAAAAAATATTATGGCAATAAACAAACATAATAATCACATTATATTATAATACTCAATTCGTTTCATTTTACATGTCTTACTTTTCTTTTTAGTTTGTCCCAAAATAGTGTTGTCTATCCAAAATGAAACATAACTATCATTCTAAAATTTTCATTATACCCTTTTGACTTTTTAAATTTCTAGACAATTAATGATGTAAGTACAATTTTACTTTTTACTAATGACACCTACTTTTGAGGGATTAACTTGAAAAGTTAGTAACATTTCTTTTGGTTACATTAAAACTCATGCAAAAAACAAATGTGACAAAGAATTAGAGAAAGAGAGAGTAATTATTATGGAACGTTAATGAAAAAGTAGTCGTTATGCACGAAATATGCTAACATTTGTACTAGTTATGCACGAAACATAAATGCATACTTTGGGACAACCTCAACTAATTTGGTCAGATAGTGACTTTCTTAATTTGAGTCGATCAGTTATAGACAACATTAGTTAACGAGATAGACAACTATAGAAATCGATCCCTGAGGTGAACTTTTAAGCTTGTAATTATCAAGTCAAAAACTTGACCAACTTGGTTGTGATATTTCATTCCTCCGTGTTTTGTTAAATTGAAAAGTTGGTTGAAAAAACACAAATTTTTGGTTGAATGGTCCAAGAGAACTTTTATGTTACAAATATGGCCTAATCGGCTATGCTAGTTTGGTGAGTTTTGTTAAAGTGAATATTATATGACCGAGATTCATGTGATGTTCACTAATATTGTGGGTGTTAAATACCTCGATTTATTGTATTCATTTTTACTTGGTATCCCGGTTTATGTAATTGTTTTTGCTTTTCATGCATTAATAACAAAAAAAAAAAAAAGATTCCCAACTTCTTACCCACTTTGTTTGTTTGTTTTTGTTTTTACTCTCTTTTTTTTTTTTTTTTTTTTTTTTTTGGAAAGGACAATGGTCAAAAAGTTAATGAAAATGTTCATCCATCATTATTATTATTATTATTATTATTATTATTATTATTATTATTTGGAGTGATAAGGGAAACAATAAAGGACCACAAAAAGAAGCTAAACTAGTATTTGTTGTCCATAACTTATACGGAATAACTTTGTAGTTATCAAGTCAACAATTTGACTAATTTGGTTAGGGTTGCCCTCGTTCGTCAATTTATTATTAATATGAAAAGTTAACTGAAAAATGCATTTTTCTAGTTGAATCATGAATGGTCCGAGAAAACTTTTATGTTACAAATGTTGCCTAATGAGCTATACTAATTAATTTGGTGAGTTTTGTTAAAGTGAATATTATATGACGAGATTGGTGTGATGTTTGCTAATATTGTGGGCGTTGAATTCCTCGATTTATGTAATCACTTTTACTTGCTATCCCGGTTTATAAAATTGTTTTTGCTTTTCATGCATTAACAACAAAAAAACTTCCCAACCTCTCACCCACTTTTTTTTTTCTTTATATAATTTATTCTAGAGATCATGCAATAGTGTACATTATCTTTAATTATTTGTTTTGGTAATGGAAAATGCATGTCTCTTTAAACACATTGAAGATGCCCACCTAATTTGACCTCTTAAGATATGGTAGCAAATGCAGTACTGTTGTATTGCTTTTATTGTAAATTGATCAAATTATTTTAATTTAAAATCAACAAATGACTTTATAAGATAATTAAATAATAAAACTACTAAATAAAAGCAAATTCCTACCAGCCGAGTAAAATAAACAAAAAAACAAAAATTTACTACAACCAACAAATTATATCATGATTTTCGAGGGCTCTCTTGTAAGATAGGCCCTACTACATGTTCATTTTTAGTTTACTAAAAATTTCATTTTTTAGTGTAATACATAT